GGGGGCCACATGGGGAGGCCACATAGAAGAGGTGACTCTTGAGTGCCTCGAGGGGGAGGTGAGAAATATGCTCTGGAGCTCTGGGCCTTTTGTGTTGGAGGTTTTTGCCCTTGTAGCCACAATAGGCACTTGAACGTGGGTTGTATCAAATTCCATGGGGAATGGGGAAGCAGCTTGTATGGAGGTATGGAGAGAGGAGACGATTGGGGAAGAGCTGATGGGTGGTTTTGGCTGGGATGGGAGGAATCCAGAGTAAGACAGGAAAGGCCTGGCAGAGCTGGGGACAGTGGGAAGTCCCAGAGGCTCGTGACGGGAGCCGCCTCAGGGCGGAATGGCCACCTTGAGAGGTATTGGTTTCCTCCTCAGAGTGTTATAGATTTAGAGTCTGGAAAAGACCGAACATCTCTAAATGTCTAATAGAAGATATCCAATCCGATGCCTAGATTGCTCTACAGTAGAGGAAACCGAAGCCCAGTGACCCGTGCAAAGCAGAGCCAGAGAAAAAGGGCCCTCGGAGGTGTACTCCAACTCTCATTATACGGAAGAGGAAAATGAGGCCAGGGAGTGACTTCCTCACCTGAGGTCACACAGGTAGCCGGTGTCAGAGCTGGGACTGGACCCCAGTCATTCTGATTCTGCCCAGTGCCTTTCCTCCTTGGCCGCACTCATGGTCATCTTTCGGGGACGACTGGATGACCACTTTCTGGGTGTGTTGTCGAAGGCTTCCTCTTTACCTCCAGCTTAGACTTGATGACCTTGGGTGGCCCCGTCAGCTCTGTGATGCTGGATGTTCTAGTCCCAGATTTGGAAACGATCCTGCCGTTCAGCCTCAGCTGTGTGAGCGATATCCCGTTGAGTCACAAAGGCCACACAAAGGCGGCACAGTGGATAGAGCGCCAGCCCCGGATTCAGGAGGATCCGAGTTCAAATCTGGCCTTGGACACATAGCACTTACTAGCTGTGTGACCCTGGGCAAGTCACTTAACCGTATTGCCTAGCCTTGGTGCTAAGTCACTAAGACTGATGCCCTCTGAATGGCTTAAGGCAAAAGGATGAAATCTCTGGGAGGGCAGCAGTTGGGAATAAGGCCTTGAGTCTGCCTTGGTGGCTCGATTTCTATTTCTGTCATTTCACGGGATTATAGATTTCAAAGCTAAAAGGGACCTCAGATGTCATGTAGACCAACCCTCTTGTTTTACAGACGAGGGCACTGAGGCTCAGAAATGTCACGGGCCTTGATGAAAGTCACACAGGTTCACAGGCTTAGAGCTCGAAGGGCCTCAGAGGTCACCCAGGTCAACTCAGTTTATAGCTAGAGGCCCGGAGGCCCTGAGAGGCCAAGTAATTTGTTCTAGGTCACACAAGGAGTAAGTAATAGAGGTGGGATTTCATTCTATGCAATTTGTAGGCGCATCTATAACTAAAGAAAACCCATTTTGATGCCTCATATTTCAGGCCTTCAGTGATCTGTGCTTTCTCGACGTGAGCTCTCTGATACCCCGCTCTGCCCCCTCATTCTGGAGGACGCTTGTCTGTATAGTCCCCTCAACCTCCATAGTCCATCTGTCGAAGGGCTTAGAGTCCTTCCTGAACGTCTTTCTCTGTTCTGTGGGATTCAAACAAGCCTTTCAAAAGAGAAAAAATGTTTTCATTCTTTCTTTTTAAAATGTGGCAAGTGGTGCTCACTTTCTTAGTCAGAATCCTCTGAACTCAATAGAATCTAACCTTCTCTGCATGACTCAGGCTTCTCATTAGGGCAGTATGTGTCTACCCCCTCCCCTTCTGCTCTTTCCCCCCGGCCCCTGAAATATGGAAGGCTACTCGTCCCAGAGCTAAATGGATCCAGATTGCTCTGCTTTCATAGTTACTGATGATTTTGTCTCTGTCCCTTCATCCAATCAATTAATCAATCAAAACGTACTTAAAGACGATTTGCTATGAGGATGGATAGACGTATAAGGCCTGTTCCCTGACTTAAGTGGTTTCTTCATGTCCATTTTCACTGTTATCCATGCACCTGCTTACAGCAACATTCTTCCCCCCATCCCCCCATTTTCCTCTGTGCCCCTGCCAATGGCCTTTGATTTCTGATTAGCTACTTCCAACGTGGTGCTGGCGTGATAAATGTGTTTGCTGGGATTTTTGGTAAACTGAGTTAACAGGCTCTGAGCAGAGGCCTCTTTTTCATAGTATAGTGCATCGGCTCTGTGACCGTTCTTTTAAGGGCTCGGCCTCTCCGCCTCTTTTTTTTTAAACTTCCAGGTTCGTGGCTATATTCCAGATGATTGAGCTTGCCAAATTTTGCATGACCTCTGTACATGCAGGGTGTTACTGTATGCTGATGCTTATATATTCTTTATGGAAAGCACAAAGCTCAGATATTTGCCTTGTGAAGTCTGTAAAACCAGAAGTGGGGAAAAAAAAGGGCCTGGTGGCCAGAGACTAGGGGTCCTGGATCCCTCCTCATGGCTTCCATAAAAGCAGAGCAGACCTGGGAAACACATTTCCTCTGGGTGATCCAGATGGAAGACATTCACTGCAGTGACCCTGAAATACACAAAGATTTTCCAGAGTGAGTCTCCGCGGGCCATAACATTGAAATCCAGATAAATCTAGGGGCCACCAAAGCACCCTATTTCCCAATCACTTCTTGTCGCTTCCTCAAGTCTTTTGTTGGCAAAAATATACCCTGCGTGGTGCAGGTGCTGGACCTGGAGTCAGGAAGACCTGGGTTCAAGTCCTGCCTTTGAGGCTCACTCGCTGTGTGATCATAGGGACGTAATAGCCTCTCTGAGCCTCAGGTGACTCTGAGACTCTAAACTAAAGACTTGTGGGGATGGAGAGCCTTCCTTCCTGGGAGATGTAATGGGTCTTGGGTGGATCCTTAGAGCCAAAGAATCCTTTCTGCTCAGGTTCATGCCGTGTTTGCGTTTGAAAAAAAACTCCAGGTCTCCCAACCCCCTTTCTTCCGCCTCTCCCTGCCCCCCCCCATCATCTTCTTCCTGTCAAGCTTATTTACTGTATTAGAAATTAAAATGTCTTCGTATTATTATGAAAGCTTCAACCTCATGGAAAGGGCTTTGGGGACCCTAAGGGATCTTCCCTGAGCCGTGCTTTGAGAACTATTGGTGCAGTGCATGAAAAGCAGCAGTCCTTGGAGCCAGGAAGACCTGTGTTCAAATCTCTCTTCTGACACATACTGACTGCGTGACCCTGGGCAAGTCACTTAATCTCTTGGGGCTCTAGGCAATTCTTTAAGAACATAAGTTGCACAAGGCTAATGTGGAAATATGTTTTCCGTGACTTAACTGATATCATGTTGCTTGCTTTCTCAATGGATGGAGAAGGACTGGAGGGAGGGAGAGAATTGGGAACTCAAAATTTTAAAAAGCGAATGATGAAAATAAATAATTGTTGGTAAAGAATGTAATTTGCAGAGAAGGCGTCTGTCTGCATTGGAAGAGGGAGTTTTCTTTATACCAATGTAATCACTGGCCCAGTATCTCTCCCTCTATTAATGGGGAAACATGTAAACTCTTACCTTGGGTTAAAACACCACCAGCAGCATGGTGTCCTAGGTGTCAGATGGGGGCAGTTTGTCTGAAATAGATCTGAGGGTCCCAGTGAGCAGCAAGTCATGGCGCCCACAGTGAGTATGGCGGCCAAGTCTGCATTAAGAGCTGTGTAATTGTCAGGAATAAGGGGGTGATCATCCCTCTGTCCTGTGCCTTTATTAGACCCCCATCTGGAGCCTTTTGTTTAGTCATGGGTGCCAGTTTCAGGATAGTATTGGTGAACCATGGGGCAAGGACTTCCAGATCAAGCTCTATGAGTAGCTGCAGAAGAAGCTGGGGATGTTTAGTCCGGGAAAGAGGAGGCTCGTGGCAGCACGCTACCTGTCCTCAAGTATTTGGAGGGATCCATATAGAGGAAGATTCGATCTGGGCCAAGGCAGAGGCAAATTCAGGCTCAGGAGAAGCTCCCCAGCACTTGGGGTCGTCCCAAGGAGGAAGGGGAGAGGAAACGCCCTCATTGGCAGGGCTTAGGCGTGGGCTTCCACATGGGGGGGGGTGATGTGGCTCTTAAGATTCTACCCCACTTTGTAATTTGGCGATTCTCTGATCTCCTCGTGTCTTCTCCTAGGTTTGCCCTGTGGTTCCTGTGTGTGGCACTCAGAAAAATGTAAGGAGAGTGAGCAGGGGCCTGTCCCAGGGCTCAGGGCAAGTGCGTTTTATTTCTGGGTGCACCATGACTTAGCTCTCCAATGGAAAGAACAGTGGCCTGGGGAGTGAGCTCTAGGCCCGACTCCACCTTTGACCATTGGGCAGCTCACTTAACATCTTGAGTCGCTGCTTTGTCCACTAACAGATGAGCATTAAGTCGTTGTGTTCAGTGAATACAAGTTGTTTGTATTCCGTTGGAAGCTGGGCCACGTCCTGCCCAACTGCATGGCAGGGCTGTTCAGCAGACTGTGGCCAAATGGCGGCAGGGTCCTGCCAGGGGATCCATGTAACATGTGGATTTGTTTGCTTTTTCAGCGGAGGGTCAAAGACGTCATCAGTCCAATTGTGTTTGAAGCCGCCTACAGCCTTGGTGACCATGTGATTGAAAGAGAGGAGAAGGAGCTGCCTCCTCTTACACCCATTCTTCGATGGAAAAAAGGACAGAAGATTGCTCAGAAGAACCAGGTTGGAATTATATAGCCTTCCAATTCTTTAGCCAGTGTTTGATCGATGTTTCTTTGTTTACATCACTCACTTCCCAATGACCAGGCTTCCCATTGGAATTCTCCCCCATAACAAAGAAAAACAGGCAAACAAAACGAACATCAACAACAGAAAACAGTGTATGTAGCATTCTGAACTGGTAGGACACCACCTTCCTATTAAGTGCAGAAAAGGATGTTGTTGTCTTTTTAACGGTTCTATAGCATGAAGGTAATTGAGACTTAGGGAGAATACAGTAAGCACCATTGGACTGGGGAGTCAAGAGATCTGGGTTCGAGTTTTGCCAGAGCCATTAATTAGCTGCAGGAAAATCAGTTTTCCTGGAATTAGGCCTAGTCTAGAAAATGAGCTGATTGAATTGAATGCTCCCTGAGCTTCCTTTCAAATGGAAAATTCCAGATAGTGATGAAAGAATCAGAGCAGTTAAGGAATGAATGAGGTTAACCAGTTAATTAGCAGCAGGAAGATGGGAGGCAGTAGGGGGATTGATTGCTTGTCCTGTGCTGTCACCACGCAGAGTGTGGCTGGACACAGAGGCAAGAGACACGAGTTCAAATCCTGCTCTGGTATTTACCAGCTGTCTGATCCTGGGCAAGTTACTTAACTGCTCTTGGACTCTGTTTTCTCATCTGTAAAATGGGTATAATAACTGCACTGGCCTCAGGGCTTTCGTGATCTTCAAAAGAGAGAACATGTGGAAAATACTTTGCAAACCTTGAAATGAAATAGAAATGTTAGCTATTCTTTTTGCTACCTATGTGTCCCTGGACCTCGATCTCCTCATTTGTAAAATGAGATCAATAGACTAGATTACTACTTCTAGCTCTATGAACGAAAGGATAAATGAACGAATAAAAACATTTATTAAGCCTTTCATTTGTGGCAGAGGTCATGCTTGAGCAATGGAGAGAGATACAAATGCCATGTCCCTGCCCTCCAGGAGCTTACATTCTAATAGGAGAGTGAGAACCAGGTTGGGGTGCTTTGGTCCTGAAAGTTAGAAGGATAGCGAGTGGGGTCCCAGGGAGGGGAATGGATTGACCCACCCCACCAGAAAGAATTGACTGAGTTGATTTGCTGGTGGTTCAAGAACTAGGGCTTTGGCTGGCAGGAAGAAGGGGGCCCTTTCATGGGCCATGAAGAAGATGGTCAGAGAGCTGAGAGTGGAACATGGAGACCTTTTCCTGAAATGGTGACCCGGCAGAGATGGTCACAGGCCAGAGGACGAGGGTCCCAAGGTGCCATTTCTCCAGGGTAGGAAGGCTGCTGGCCAGTCTCTCATGGGGGGCCTTGCTTGCTGAGCTGGGAGCGATCCTCGGAATTTGTGGAACACGGAGAGGTTTAACCAGGAGTGCATCTGTTCTTGCATACCTGGCTTGGCCTGGTTTGGGGGAGTGAGGTGGTGCCAGCCCTCCTCTGAGATGTGTGAAATAGAATACTTTTCTGAAAATATACAATGAGCCTGGAATATGATGCCTCTTCTTGAAACACATTACTCACGTCGTGTTGATGCTGGCCTCTCTGAAGTGTCGGGGTGGCAGCCTCGGCCCTGAGATACAGATCTGGAACTTGCCCTGCCCTCGGCGCTGACACCAGCGTGCGGTTCCTCTGCCCAGAGTACTAGGTGCCCCATCTGCCACCTCCCTCACTCGGCCCTAGGTTGCTGCCCTCCAGGGTGGAAATTAAAGAAAGGTAGATTTCTGTTCACTCTAGAGGGAAAAACAAAAACTTCCTCACACCTGGAAGGATCCCAAAGTACGGTGGGTGGTCTCAGAAGGTGCTCATTTGGCCCTCAGCAGAGGCCTTCAGATGAAGGCTGGATGCCCGTTGTTGGGGACAGTGGTGGAGGGAGTTTCTGCCAGGGAGAGGCTGGACTCTGTGACCTCTGAGATCCTCCCCACATCTGCGTCTGTGATTCTGTGATGGGCCCTTGGGGAGGGTGGTAGCCAGGGAAGGCTGTAGAAAGGAGGAAGAGGAAAGGCACTTGAAAGGCTCTCCACGGAAAACAGTCTGAGAGGAGAGGGAGGGTGAGGGCAGGGCCTGGAGGACGTCAGTATCTCCCTGGACAGGAGCCTGTGAAGGGCGGCAGGAGGGGCTGGACAAGTAGATCCAAGACAGTTTGTGGGAGGCCCTGAATGCCAGAGTTAGAAGTTGACACTTTCTTCTCGGGCAGCGGGTGGCTGCTGGAGGTTTTGAGTAAGAGGAGATCATACATTGAGAGTGGGAGGAGTCCTTAGAGACCATCAAGTCCAGCCTCATTTTACAGATGAGGAAACTGAGGCCAGAGCAGCAAAGTGACTCAGGATCACAGTGTCCATCGTAGATTTAGAGCTGGAAGGTCCCTCAGAGACTGAGTCCAGTTGTCTCATGTTACAGATGAGGAAACTGAGCTCAGGTTAAATGATTTCTATAGAGTTTTGTTGTTCAGTCATTTTAGTTGTGTCTGACTTTTTGTGATCCTCTTTGGGGTTTTCTTGGCAAGGAAACTGGAGTGGTTTGCATTTCCTTTTCCAGCTCATTTTACAGATGAAGAAACTGAGACAAACAGGAGTAAGTGACTTGCCCAGGGTCACACAGCTAGGAAGCGTCTGAGGCCAGATTTGAACTCAAAAATGACTCTTCCTGATTCCAAGCCCAGGGCTCCATCTGCTGGGCCATGTAGCTGCCCTTGTTGCTTAAGGTTACAAGCTAGTAAGTACCTGAGTCAGGATTTGAACTCGGGTCTCCCAAATGCAAGTTCATCACTAGTCACTTTATCACCCAATGGTGCTTTAGGAAGATTATTTGGGCACTGATGTGAAGCGTGAACTGGAGAGGGGCTAGACTGGGTGGGGGCAGTTCTCTAAGACCCTGTGGTGCTTTGGGAAGGTAGAGAGCACACTGGGAGATGGGAAAGTGTGTTGAAAGGTGACTCGTGTAACCCAGATGTATTCCAACCTGCCAGGCCTCATGATGTGGTCGTGTGTTTCTACAAAAGGTGTTGGCTGAAGTCCCAGCAAAGGCTTTGGTTATCGTTTGATGTGTGTGTGGTGGGGGGCACCTGGAAAGGATCACCAGAGACCAGAGAGGGGTCAGCCAAATGCCTGGGCTTCAAAAAGGGGAAATGGGATGAGACGAGCCCTGTTTGCGTCTCTGCTCAAAGTGGTTTTTATTCTTGAAAAGGGTCTGAAGGGATGAAGGCACTTTCTGAGCTGTTACTGAGCAATCTCATTTTAGGCAGAAGTGACAGGTTGTTCATGGGTCTTGTGAAGGGAAGGGCATTGAAATATGGGGAAAGGAGGCGTCCGGGCAGGTGGCGGGGAGCTAGGAGACCATTGTGGGCCCAGGGGAACAGCCCTCGGGAGATGGAACAGCCAGGAGAACATTGGTCTAGAACACAGGTTCTCCAGCTTAAACAGTGGGGATCCCCAAGAGAGGGATTTATGTGGGTTTATATTTATGTGCTAATGTTTATGTTATACATTTCTGTGGGTCCTATCTACCAACATCGACCTTATGAGAAATGAAAACATCTTAGTATTATTATGAAAAGGGTTTTGACCTTGCAGACCACCCTTTGAGAACTGCTGTGCTAGAACACAGGATGTATGAATCGGGGAGGGTTGTGTAAAGCTTGGCGAGAGCCAGACTGTGAAGTGCAGTCAATGCCGAAAAAAGCAGTTTGTTGTTTCTCTTAGCAGCATTAGGGAACCGTGGAAGGTCCTTGAGGAGGAGAATAGCATGATCAGACCTGTCCTTTGGGAATATGTTTGGCAGCTGGGTGGAGAATGGCCTGGAGAAGGGAGAGGCTGAACGTAGGGAGACCAATTCTACTGGGCCAGAGATCATGAAGACCTGAATTAGCAGGTGGTTTTGTGAGTGGGGAGAAAGGCATAGTTATGAGAGATCTCAGGTAGGAAGAAACCCATAAGAGAGGAGACTGGTGAGAGGCCCGTAAGGAGAGAGAGGCCAGGAGAAGAGGGTGGTCGCGGGGAAGAAGGCTGCAGAGAGCTCCAGGAGGATGACAGCTGGGAAAAGCTGTCTGGTCCAAGCAGTGGGCCAGGAGGAGAGCAGTGTGGGTCCAGTGGTGGGGGGGGGATAGAAGGCAGATTGCAAAGGGTGGAGGAGAAAGTGGAAGGTGTGAGAGTTGTGACAGGGAGTGTTTGGGGCGCTTTGTAGGTAGGGCCTAAGCTGTGGCAGGGAGGAGAGGCATGGGATCATAGCTGGAGGGTCTGGTGAGGACCAGGAGAGGTCTTTTTGGCCACGTTTGTAGGCAGCAGGGAAGGCCCTCGGGTGCTCCCTCCTCCTCTCTGAGGCATTTCTTTCTTTATCTCCCCCTACCCCATCTCTTGAAATGACTTGGAGTCAGTAATACCTTGGTCCAAATTCCACTCAAGATACTTGGCAGCTGCGGGACCACTACCTCAGTTTCTTTGTCTGTGAAATGAGGAGTTGGAGTAGATGACCTCTAAGAGCCCTTCCAACCCTTAGCCTATGATCCTATGATTATCTGAAGTAGGTGGAATCTTTGGTGGTTAGACCAGAAGACTTTAAACACTTGCTGTCCATACATGGCAAAGGTGTGGGGAAAAGTAGACACAAGAACAGTGGGACGTCATGGCGAGAACGCTAGACTTGGAGACAGAAGACCTGACTCTGAAACTTACTAACCTGGTGATCAGAAGTAATCCATTTAATGTTAGTAGTTCTCAGTTTCTCCATCTGTGAGGTGGGGATGATTCCATTCATATCACATCCTGCATTGGGTTTTTGTGAGGAAGGTGCTTTGTCGTCAATGTAGCAGAAGAGAAGTGCTAATAACGCTGTTAGTAACATTAATAATGTCAGTGAATGGAAGGTGTCGTATGCAAACATGCATGAGCAGAGTGAGCTGGGTAGAGCATCGTGGCCCCCAGACCCCTGATGGAGAGCTTGGGGGCAGCTGGGTGGTGCAGTGGATAGAATTCTGGGCCTGGAGTTAG